TAGTTCAGCAACATCTCTAAGTCAGTAATAAGATGACAAAGGAAGACTGGAACAAGACTAATATTTTGATCCACAGAAAAATGGAGAGTAAGATGGAGTATTATACTCTGAAACAGAAACACAAATTTGATGGATATCAACACAGCTGTTTAAAACCAACCCTTCATACAGCAAGTGCAGTCATTAACCTCTCCAATCACCCACTCAGCAGTAATGAGATGTCAGTTTTTGCCAAAGGAGGGAATTTTGCAGTTGTGCCATCGGTGGAGCCTACGGAGGACATCATTTCAGCTATTCATAATCTTCCTATTGATGCTGAGAAAGAAATAAGAATGAGATGGGCAGAATTTTGAAGATATCTCATCCCCCAGCCCCACCAGTAATTTGACAATGGGAGAAACATGTGCCGTAATGAATGTTCTGCAGAAGAGAACATCATGATTCTGCCAGCAGATAAGGGAAATACTACAGTGATTATGAATAGAAAAGACTGTCAGGACAAGGTCCAGGGCCTCTGAGACCTGGCAACTTCTAAGAAACTTAAACATGACCAAACAACTACTGTCTTATGGAAAATTAATCATCTCATCAAGACATCAATTTCATCCGAGAGGCATAAAAGTATTTGCAAGACAGAAGCCTTGTCACTGCATCTGTATGGATTACCAAAGAACCATAAACAGTCTGTTCCATTACTTCCAGTCATGAGTGCCATTGGTTCTCCTACATATCATATTGCCAAACACCTAGCTGTACTTTTACAATCTTACCTTGGACTTACATCAACCTATATTAAGGAGTTAACCCACTTCGTTGAAAAACTTAACAAACTCAGTCTGAGACAAGGTGATAGACTGATCAGTTCTGATGTGCTTTTCCTTTTTACCAAAGTGCCAGTTAAGGAATGTTATTAATATATTAAGGAAATCTTTTTCAAAGACATTACCAACTTAATCCATCACTGACTTACTACCAGTTATTTCTGGTGGAACAATGAATTCTATGAACAAATTGAAGGGGTTGCCATGAGCAGCCCCTTGAATCCAGTTATAGCCAATTTCGGTATGGACAAATTTGAACAACAGGAACCAGACATTGCACCTTTAAAACCATCTGTTTGGTTTTGGTATGTGGATGACACCTTTGTGATCTGGAGTTATAGTGAGGAAGAACTCAAGAAATTTCTAGAGCATCTTAATAGCATCCAGCCAAATATTCAATTCACAAGGGAAGAGGAGAAAGATGGACAACTTGTTTTTTTGGACATTTTAATCATTAAAGGAAAAAATCAACAACTGGGACATAGTGTATACTGGAAACCAACACATATGGATCGCTATTTAAATAAAAAGTCTAACCATCATCCCTGCCAGAAGAGAAGTATCATGAAAACTCTCACCGATTGTGCTCAATATATTTGTGAGCCTAAAATACTACCTGATGAGCTAAGATATCATGAGAGGACTTTACAGGCTAATGGGAACTCTTCCAGTGAGATCAAACAAGTAATGCAATCCAGCAACAAAAATAACATCATGTATAAATCTAAGGACAAACCACCCCCAGTAAGAAAGGTGTTTCTTCCTTATATTAAAACGGTTACAGACCGAATTGGAAAATTACTGAACAAACCCGGTCAGGCAGAGAGGGCATGTTGTGGACCCTGTCAGTGAGAGAATGTTAGCTGGTGGGGCCCAGGAGGAGAGCCTTCTCTGCCATTCCCCTCATCCTTTGGAATATTCTCCCCCCAGAGGTATGGCAGGCCCTTACCCTCCCAGCTTTCTGGAAAGGATTAAAAACCTGGCTGCCAGCTTGCATGGGGCAATAGGAGCTCTAATCGTCCTTGGGTGTGGTTAGCACCCTAATGACGCTCCCCGAGTTACTCACCAATTCTCATCATTCTTGGAATTTATTTAAGATTGTTTTTATATTGTATTTTAATTGATTTTATCTCTTCTGTAAATCACCCAGAGTTGCTTCCAACAAGATGAGTGGTGACAATTTTAATAAACAATCAAACAAACAAACTTAAAAACTCTTTACAAACCAATGAGAAAAATCCAAGAAATGATTCAATCACCTAAGGAAGGCAGAAGTCCACTTTTATCATCAGGAGTTTATCACATACCTTACAACTGCAGACAGGTGTACATTGGAACTACAAAATGTAGTGTTAACACTCAAAGATACTGCCATCTAGAACAACTTGAAAAATCTGCAGTAGCTGAATATGTGCTGCTACATAATGGCACAAAATTCAATTTAAAGACGCACAAACACTAGCAATTGTGTCAAATCATGCACAACTCCATAGAGAAGCTATGGATTTATAAGCATCTCAATAACTTTAACATGAAAGAAAAGAGTCTGAAAGTTAATAAAGTCTGGTTTATGTCACACCAAAATAAAATAGCCCTTAATTAACCTACACCATATAGAATCTTCAGCAGTCTCACCTGAAAAATAATAAACAGCAGCATGTTTCAAAGAAAGACCAATCAAAAATTGGTTCCTTTGGAACTTCTTCAAATCAGACCAATTACAAATTCACCAGGATGAAGAACCAATCAGAAACTGGTTTTCCACAATTCTGATGACATGGTCTGATTGGACATTAGTTCTGTTACAAGCATTAGAGTTCAGTCAGTTCTTGCTCAGATGCCTGTGAGCGGCCAAGAAGTATGCTACAGAGCGGACCACTTTCTCCTCTGAAGATGCCAGCCACAGTTGCAGACAAAAGATAACAGTACTAGATAATTAGATCATGGCCTATTGGCCTGGAAGCTTATCACCACTGGATTGATGCTGGCTGTTAAAGCCTGCATTGATATATTGTTTCTGCATTATTATTTGTACTGTGATATGGAAACTGATTTAATTAGATTGTGAAAGCATAAAAGAGAAATGTGCTGTTGATAAAGTAGCCCAGCCTGGACAGATGTGATTTCCAGAAGAACAGCATATTAAGACAAGTAAAATGTGTATAGACATAATTCTGCTGTTTTCATAAGTCAGGGATGGGATACAGTTATTGTATGAGATCTGGATATTTTCTGTATCCCCTTGTCACCATTCAGTGGTAATATTAAAGGTGTGAGAATATGTTGGGATTATTCAACAACAATTGAAGGGCTATGTCCCCACTATATTTTGCATGGGATTCATGCTCCCTAATGTTTCCCTTATTGATAAATTGAATATATATAGTTTTATCAGGAAAACTAATAATTTTAGTTCCTGTAATTTAGCAGAGACAACAGCGTGGTAACATCTTAAACTTAACAAATGTATTGTGGCATAAATTCCTCTTCCCTGGTTTGGTTCCTTCTAGGGCCTATAGTCTAATCTATGCTGGCTTTACATTCTGGTAGTTGTGAGCTGAGCATTTCTAGCACCAAGTTGAGGAAGGCTGATATTAGTTTTCACACACTAGAATCCTTTTCATCAGTGCATCCAGATGTTACCCTTAGATGGTCCCAGAGAGGAGAAATAGTATATCATGGAGTTAGATGATGATGAATGCAAAAATACAATTAAGACAATTAAATTAAAGGTTAAATATATGTAAAAGGAGCAGGGAGACCAATCTGAAACCCATTTAAAAGTAACTGAGTTGTTAGCTGAATATTTAGCATATTGTCATTTCCCTCCTGTACCTTTATAAAGTCTGCCAAATATTTCACTCATCCAGTAAAGTAGTCTGTAGTCTAGAAAAGCTTATGCCATAATAAATTTGCTGACCATTCAAAGGGCATAGGATCCTCCTCCTCCTCCTTTACTTCAAGAAACCAAATTGATCATTCCTTTGCTAATTAGTATTTCCAAAGCCAAAGATTGTAAATTAGTATTTACAATCAAGGCCAGTGGGATAGTTTTCTGCCAGTTTGAGAATGGGTGGAG